CCCCCCCCCCCTACACAGGAACAATCTTAAATTTCCATTAATGGGTTTTTGAATCGTTTTTAAAGAATACTACTGTCAATGTAAAAACTGAACTCATATAATTTTGGTTGTTATAGATTTCCCATATGGTAAATTGGTAAATACCATGATGTTCAATATTTACCATCAATGGTATTTTCCTGTGCACAGGGAAAAAATAAAGTACCATTAATGGCAAATACTGTATTAAACATCGTGGTTCTTACTATTTTACCATAAATAACCAATAATGGTAAGAGTTCAGTTTTTGCATTCAAAAACCAATTAATGGAAAGTTCATTTTTTCCCCTGCTCAATGTCCACCAGTGTATGCTACGAGTAAACTGTGTTCGGAAGTTAATACAGCTAAATAAGAGAAACATTCGGAGCCAAATTTGAGAACACTAACAGCGAGAAATGTAAAGGAATGAAATAAAAAGAATAATAAATATAGGAAAGAAAACAGCTTACTTTGTTTTCAGAAGATAAATCATAGACATATTGCTCTTGACAATTTTCGTTCATACAACGCATTGAAAATGGGTCGCAATCCTGCATAAAAAAACAAGGAAAATCTCCTGTGTAAGTCAAATTTAAAACTTCCTGCACAATGTAGATTTCGGAGAACGTATGGTGCCACACAGAGGTTCAGATTTAACTTCCACTACCGCTACCATGAAGGGAACATCAACCAATCAGATGCGTTCGATTTATTCGATTAACCAATCAGATGCGTACTAAGCCAGTTAGAGGTAGTGGAACTCAAATCTGAACCTCTATACTATGTGAACGTGTAGTGGACAATCTCAACTTGCAAAACGCTTTTGTAAATAATAAGTATAAGTATGACAATAACTTCCTGCAAGATGTAAGAACATTTCTTGCTAAGACATTTTATTAAAATTTCCTGGCAGCGGTGCTGCCGGCTAGTATTACTTATTTCCAGCCAAGTGCCACGTTTACGAATGCGGTACTCTCACTGCATGAGTACTTGAATTTTGCTTGTATTAATTGACTAGAAAATTTCCAAGCCTAAGTTTTTCAAAACCATGCACAATAACTAGCTATACAGAAATATGATGTGCAAATATGGAATATTGGACTCAATTTTGTTTTTGCAGTATATGTAACCATGCTCCTTCTCTTCTAACAGTAGTTTCGAGTTACTGCATAAATACGTTTTAGAAAACTATGCTTGATGTACATTACTTTAAGACTAAGGCTATGTGCACACGGGCGTCGTTTTCCAGCGTTTTCAAAAACGTTTTTGTCCCTTTAATCGTTTTGACGCGCTGTTCACACGATCCAAAGGAAAATATCTCCAATATATTAAATAAACTATACAGCTTCTGTCGTAAATTGATAGTGTTTGCATCCGTTTCAGCGTGAAAATACAAATGAAAACGCTCAAAAACGTTTCCGTGTGCACATCAAGTAAACGGTAATTTTATTACCATTGGAGTACCAGTGAGGTACAGTAAATGACTTCAATTACCGCATCCTGCAATGACAGCAACTGTTTGCATTCAGGGGCCGCTTACTGAAATATAATGCCCACTGTGCAACACGTTATATGTGTTTAATTAAATGATGACCTTAAATCGTTCTTCATCACTCATTTGCGCTTCACCACCAAGAAGAGCGTCATTTTCATCTTTATGTGCAATAGAAGAACGATATCCTGATGGATCCAAGCCTGTAAGCAAAGATAAAGCACATTGCAAAACGGACGTCGCCCGAAAACTAATTTTGGTGACAATTTGCATCAGAGCGCCCGTGCAAGAAATAAAAAAAAACACTTTAAAAATCTTGCGTTTTGTCATATGTGTTGAAGATTACCACAAACAGACAAAAACACGTCTTTAATCCAGCCCCCCCCCCCCAGAAATCTTAAGCACGCAGCTTTGCTTAAGCTCCCTAATAACGGCAGTACATAGTTTTTGTCTTGTCAATTCCACGTAATGATGAATTTCAGAGGTTACCACAAAAAAGATTTATATCAAGGCTTCCCAAAAGTTGTTTCCCAAGGTGCAAGAACAAATTTTGTCCTTGGGAATTAGGTTTTTAGGATTGAGGAGAACGAGGAACTTACCAAGACAGCTGGCGATATGAGCGGAGTCTGTGCCATCAATAGGATCACATAACCGAGAAACAACCGGATGGACTTGGTGAGCCAAGTAATATTTACTGTCTGGGATAAGAGTCAAGGAAATTATTATGCATGGTAAATAAAATGGAACTGCACAAACTCCGGAGTTTACGTTTAAGACTTTTAAGTATCATCATAATATTTCAACAAGGAGCCAAACTCGCCTTGGCCATTTTCAGTTGGGCCCTGCATGATATCACTGCAGCTGCTGTTTCAAATCAGATAATCTGAATTTTTCGGGGGAGAGGTGGGGAAGGCTAGGATTCACACAATTTTGTTCCCGCCATTAAATCGTATTACCTGCGTATGTTGTCCTCATGGAACATTACTATACCTAAAGCGGTATTCCTGAATGAAACATTAATGCATTTGCCCATTGCCAGAAATTTGTCAATGTTCAATTTGTAATTATGATTGATATAATTATTATAATATAAAGTTTCATTTACATGTACTCCTGCTAGTGGGGCATTTGACTCATATTTTTTAACATACGAGCGGTGGTTAAGAATTATACATTCGAAAAAATTCCCAGAGGTATGTTCAGGAGATGTCGACTTTCCACGGGTTACTCATATGGGCCAGACTGGGCGTGTAAACCGAGCTGGCTCGCTATTTCCGAGTTACAGCCTCATATATTGTTTTTATATGCCTTCGAGATTCAAATGGCTTGAATGAGGCGAGATATCCCACTAAAATCACGCGGGAATTCATTGCTAGCGCTTATCGGTCCAGTCCGCCTAAAGGGATAATTGCCTGGCAAGCGAGCCAACCTGGCAAGCAAGGCACATATAAACAGCCTCTAATTTGGCTCGTTTCAGTTTTAGAAAAAAGGATACCAAGTTTAAGAGTTTCAGATCTCAGAAATTCTTCAGGATGATAAGCTCTCTGAGCCATGGGCAACGTTGAACCATCCTGAAACATATACACGTGAACATATTTAACTTGTATTGTACTGGGTAAATTTGCTCCTTAATGGTATTTCGTATTAACGTGGCGAGGATAGTTCAGTTGGGAATCCATTCCTTGCTCGTCCATGGTTTCAGGTGAAACTCGACTGTGCTGTAAGCCTTAGCCAAACACTCCCTGGTCTGGCTGAAGCGAAAAGGAGATAGACTCTCTCGCTGTACGGCCGTCACTTGGGGGTCCAGACTCCAGAGTCAGTAGTTTTTATTGTATAAGTAACAAGCACGCAATGAGTGACTGGATGGCTTGGACATCACTGGGATTTTCAAAACTACGAATGGGCATTGAATCGTGACCCGATGACAGTAGAGAGTTTAAGATCTACGACGTGACGAATTCAATTAACGTCTCAATTCCAGGTCAACAATGAGGCAAAATACTTTGATTACTGTAATAAATGCTTGAAGCTTTTTAATAACTTTACAAACAGTTAAGTTCAGCAGAAACGATTTGGTGTTTGCTACAAGGCTGACCTTATGATTGTAATAACGTCGAAATAGGCTTTCACGTTGCTGGAAGACATGATAATGCTTAGTTTAACATTAGAATGTTAGGGTTTGTAATCCAAGTGAGAATATATACATTTTAAGACCTAACCAGGAACGACTGCGAAAAATGCAGCACAAGGTCCTCTGGTAGGAATTGAACCTACGGCCCTGCGATTCCGGTACAGCGCTCTAACCAACTGAGCTACAGAGGCCAGCTGTTGAGCTGTAACCGCAAGTTCATGTATATATAGGTAATCGGGTGTGCGGGTTGTGATAAGGTGGCTTTCAATAATTTGGATTCTTGCACTTCACTTGGTGGAATTAATATTAGAATGTTAGGGTTTGTAACCAAGTGAGAATATATACATTTTAGAGCGCTGCACCGGAATCGCAGGGCCGTAGGTTCAATTCCTACCAGAGGACCTTGTGCTGCATTTTTCGCAGTCGTTCCTGGTTAGGTCTTAAAATGTATATATTCTCACTTGGATTACAAACCCTAACATTCTAATATTAATTCCACCAAGTGAAGTGCAAGAATCCAAATTATCTTAGTTTAACGTTGTATTCCGTTTATTGAGTTTCTCACTTATTGGTGAGCGGATTTCCTAACAGGCTATTGCCCAACTGATAGGGGACCCGAGGTAGTCACGATTCAACGTCCTTATCCGAGAAGACGCGAATGTCTAAACATTAACTGATGTCAATGTAAAGGTAAAGCTCTTTCTCCTCAGTTATTTTAAGACCTTGTATAGAGGTCCGACCAAAAATTGAATCCGGGTCTCCCAACTTGAAAGGCAAGAGTGATGACCACGGCGCAACAAGTGCTGGTATGGCAATGCTGTTCAGGATGCTCCCTGGGACCACAAATTATTCATACTTTTTATTTTGCATTAAGAATTGATTTGGTTTGAAGGCGCGTCGTTGACTTGCTGCGTCGTAGATCTTAAACTCTCCCAGGGGTGTTGGGCCTTGGTCAACAATGGTGCAAGGGGGGGGTGCAAGATGTCACTATAATAACGGATAGCCAACATTACTATAATTGCTTATTGCTGTAAACGTCCATCATAAGTATTCAATATTGAAAAGAGAAATTAAAACACCAATCAAAAACATTCAAATATGAAGAAAATCCATTTATCTCAAGGCTACTCGTCTATCGGCTTATCACTATGGCATAATTTCCAAGGTTTTTCCTTTTTTGAAGTCAAACTGAAGCTCATAATTCAATTCCCAAATCGCAGGAAATGGCATTTCTAGGGTTCTAATTTTCAAAATTTTAGTCCAGACCCCCTAGGGAGAAGTACCCCAGACTGCCTAGGGAGCTTGTGCCTTCGGCGCTCGAGTCATTAGGTAGCCAACTCATTTGAATGCTCTTCCACCACCCCCTAAAGAATTATAAAGAAACACGCGGCTGCTCACCCAGCACCCCCTAAAAAACCTCACCACCTAACTGAAAAAAGATTAACAAGCATTCCGACGTTTAGGGGGAACATGTCTTCTTAAAATAATTCCATTTAAAAACATGCAAAATGTCCATTAACTGGATCAACTTACATCACATATGACATAGGGGATGGTATCGCCCACATTGACCTTCTTGTTTTTACTCTTCATCCATAAGGCAACATGAACGTGAGGTAAAGACTTCTTGTCTGGGTATTCATTTGGAGCTTTTGTTAGTTGCTAAAGATAAAGGACAATGTTTCAGATCAGGGGCGGATCTATAGCCTCATCTGCAAAGAGGAGTGCAGGTTTTCGGGGGTGGTGATGCATGAGAGTCTTACTCCCCAGTCTCCTCTGCAGTCTGCAACGCTGCTATCCCAACTTTCCCATTATTTGAGATGGCCGAATCTGCATGATCGCCGTTTTACATTATATTTTGTTTATAAAGTTTATATCAGCTTTATATCATCTATGTGTGATTGGACAGTGCTGTAGATTTGCTTGTTGAAGTACAGCATATATTTAATTAACTAAAGTATTCTGAGTATTTTCTCGTGAGCTCACAAATCAATCATATCGTTTCAAAAAATCGACATGCGCGCTAACAGTATAGAAATTCAACAAGCAAAAATGTACTTTCAAGCAGATATTTTTAGGGTGGTGTTGGACCTCTCTACCGTCCTGTAGATCCGTCCGTATTTTAGATGTTTCGTTACTATAGTTATGTAGATAGAGTATAACGCCATTGAAATGTTTCCTGGAATAAAATGTATTTGACTATAGTATTTCCGAGGCGTAGTCATAATTTATAAACAAATAGAGGGGGCATTGTAGTTTAAATTGTATTCAAACGAAAAGTGACAAGTTGAAGCTTTCTATAATGGGGCCAGATTTAAGTAGCGTATGTATGTCCCGGATGTAAAATCGTATATGCTCATTGGTAAATTGATATCCCCTTAGCAACATTCCACGAGAAAAACATACACATTTTGTAAAATGCAGTAAAATATTAATTCCACATTTCCAATATTAAACGTTGCAATAAAATGAGTCACATAGATTCATATGGTGCTATGTGCTACGACGATTTCGATGTAGTCAATTGGCGTGCTACCTTATACGCGGGACTTGGAATCGCTAGATTTGTCCCTCGATTTTCGCGCAATGCCCATAACCATTCTATTGTCGTAATACTGTAAAGATGCCAATGGATTGTAATGGTACAAGGGGTTATATATATCTTTGCAAACGGTAAATACTGGCTTGCGTACAGCAATAACAATAATAATAAAAGCATTTATTTAAACACGATAATAATATTACAGCATCTAACTGATGTGGTCGTGTGATTAATACTGTACATTTTAACTAACTAATAATAAAATGTGGCTAATGTGAATTAAAGTAAATTAATATTTCACATAATTACATACAACAGAAAAATCACATTACTTGGCAGCACAGTGACACTAATATATGATGAACACTAATATATGATGAAACCAACAAAACGTATTGTGCTTGGAGAACATAACTGGATCACGGACAACCAGACCCAAACGGAAGCAACTTTTTGGCGACTATATGGAAGTCCCATTTCTATAATTCGAATTTTATACGTTCACGACGTTCAACTACAGATCATTATTATCTGTTTGGAGTCAATTCAGAGAAACTTTAAGTGAAAGTGCGCATGTTAAAGCAGTTATTAATTAAACAATGGGGATATATGGGACAACATTTCGGGAGGAATCGATATTGATCATGAACATTTTTTTAGAATGTATCCTGGAAACAGTGTAAATGAAATATATAAGATAAATTACCTTGTTGATGACAAATTTCTCTAAAGCTAAATTTCCTCCTTGGACATCTTCTCCCACTAAAGAACGAAAGATTGTTGCACTTTAATTAACATTTTAATCACTTTGAACGATCTTTTGAGTTTTGATCGCACGGCCTTTAGGTCTGTTTGGAACAAAATGTCTTTGTTTTGGCCACAATTGCTTGTATGCGAAGAGAGAAAAGTTTCTCTTGGGTGAGGAAACACTTGTGAAATGGCAATGTCGCTGAGCATTCATTTCATAGTAACGTGCACTCAGCGAAAACTTTTTATGATACTGAAATAAGGCTCAAATTGTAACCATATTGCCTTTTGGGCTTTCTGTTATCGATCTGCACAAAGTGCAATTTGTCTTTTGAACCTCAATCTTATGGAATTATTAATTCCTACCTTTGCTTAAATACTCAGCAATATTTTCCACGATGGTATCCCTTGCTTCCGCCGAGAGAATTTGATCAAGCACATAACTAACAAAAACAATACGAACATTTGTATAGAAATTAAAATGACAATTGTAATTTCATCGTATTATTATGTGTCATTGTACACTAGCTGTCCTATCTTATTCCATTCCATTCTATTTCATACCATTGTGTGACAGAAGTACACTAACTGGATTATCCATTTCGGCGGTGAAACTGAATTAAATTTGTACTCTGTTCCAAGTTTCGAGTCTTTAGATTAGGGGAAATAAATATTCTCGTTCCTGATTTGTTAACAATCTTCGACTAATTCTCAATACCACGTTACAAAATGGTTTATGCACTGCTAAGGTAACCCTATACTATTTGTCTTCACGCATCATAGTCGGTTGTGAACATTGCATGGATCCAATTTGGAGAATGAGGCGGAATTTTGATTATAACAGCAAGGTACAGTAGTAGGCTATAGTCTTGCTTGACAATTTCACAGTCATGTTTTTTAAGGAAATTGGTCACCCGTTTGCACCCCCTTCGCCAAGGCTAGGAGGGGTGCGCTTGCCCAGTAAATGCATCCCTGAATATTGGAATGCGTGGGGAATTCTTTCGCTTGGGGGGATATGGAATTTGTTGTTCATTGTTCAACGGAGTGAGGAATTTTTTAAAGATGAGATGTGGAATACGGATTTTTTTATTAAAAAACGCAATGAATGCAAAATGTTTGCTAAATTCGGCCTTGGAAATGTAGAATTTTCCTTTGCATCTTGAAAGCTAACTTTCGGATACATACTTGCCAGCATCCTTGGCAAGTTGACACCAATCTCTTCTGACAATATCCAGACCTTTCGTCTCTTTCGACTCGTGAAATGTTCCTAAGAAGAATCGAATATGAACATCATTCCTGCCAAGGACGTACTATTGTATTTGACTGAAGTTTAAAACTTTGGGTATATAAGGGTTTTGCTCCAAAATGACATATTTCTTGTTAGTTGCTTTCGACTTATGTCGTCCCTGGTTAACGTGCGATAATTTTCAGATATCCTACCAAATTCGCCCCTCCCCACAATGGTGCCTGTTCGCAGCTCAAACATTTGGCTTTACATCCATGGAGAAATACTTTCCGAAAGTGATTGCCGTTTGAAATGTTCTAGCCACACCTAGAATAATAAGACCCAACCAGGGCTTGAAATTTTGAAAAAAATTAGTCGCCCAAGGCTACGAGTGAATAAGACCAGGTCGCCAAATTTGGTATCAGGATTCCCATCGCCATGGCCAAAGACGTTGCCTAGAAGCGTGGCATATAAATATGAGTAATCATGCTTTGAATAGGGGATGACGATGCTTATATTTGCCATAAGAATATATCCATCTTGTTGGCAGGCGACGTCACCCCATGGGTATATAAGAAGCCACGTTGCGACTTAGATTGGAATATCGAAAGCAAGACACTAGACTGGAGTATCGAGAAAAATACTAAGAGACTGGAGTATCGAAAAAGTCTGATGAAGACATAACACTGGAATATCGAAACGTTGGGTCGTGAGTGTAATTCGACTGTGCTTTGCATTCATTTATTAAAACCAGAGTAGCGAGCGAAAACATTGATTGATTTTTTAATAATTATCCTGGTTGCCGTGAACTCACAAACTTCAAAAGTTGTTTACCACATCAATCTCGTCCAATATTCAATAGATATACAGTTCGCGATATGCTCTCTTGTATGTGTGATTGCAAACAACATTAGTCAGTGACCATGCATGCAAGCACAATTTTCTCAGCAATAATAAAATTACAGGGCATATAACAACTCCTACCATTATCAAGTGCTTGGACGGTGATTGCTGCATATCTGCAATAGAAAATAAACATTCAGTTTAAAGCCACGTACAGATGAGCAAGGTTTCCTGGACAGGTTTCTTTGATAAGTTTACTTTCCCGTGTGTATGGTCAACAAGTTTTCATTGACAAATTTTGTTGCTCGTATATGCACAGAACATTGTTAAACGTTTATCTTTCGTCAAGACCGCCTTTTGTTTGCCAAAATCATACAACTATTTCTTGTACACTTGTCAAATTTTCCTTGACAGCCGTACACACGAAAAATTTTCATCGTCCATTAGCTGGCATGACTAGCTTTAGAACAAGACCCCTTGGCGTGGAAAAATTGACAATTTCCTGGCGTGCACACGAGCAAATAAAACTTGAGAGGGAAAACTCGTTCCACTGTGCGGAGAATAACTCAGTGAATTCTGTACAGACTGGGACGACAACTCCAGACAAACGGCCCTATATGATTGGGTGAAGCCAACGTCATCTTCAATAGAGTGATTTCATGTAGAGGAAGACTGACATTTAACAGTTATTCTACGAACTCGAGTCGAATATTCGACGAGAGTGAGTAGAATAACTGTTTTATTATATACACAAGGTCTGAATTCACAGACTTTGCTTTTCAGATATTTTCAATATTTTTCTATTTTGTTTATGTTTTATCTTCGCTCTTTCAGTCGATTATTTTTTCCAAAATATATATTTTTAACCATTTCAAATTTTAAAAATTCATTTGCTAACCTGTAAGCAATTTGTGGGAGTTTTTTCATGGTGTTTTTAATCCTGAAAGGGCTATAAAAAGTGAACAACTTGCCGTTTTGTCGTTCGCAAAACATCGGAAATTCAGTTTGAGCCACCATTTTGTTTTTCTCTACTAGCAGGATATGAGCTAATATCCTGCTAGTAGAGAACCAATCAGATTGCAGAATACCTCATATCCAGACCTTGTGTATATAATAAAACGTCTTATCCCAGACGCACACGATCCGATGGTAGTCGTTCGACTATGGTTTAGATGCATGATAAATCGTCGAAAGCACTGGATATGCAAGGAAGGCGCAATAATATAAATATATAGAACAGGTATGGTATTATGAATGTATAGACTGGTGTTTGTATCAAGTTAATTGTTTTCCTTTTTATATTCTGCATAGATGATTCCGAAATGTAAAGGCTTTCGAAAAAACTATCGAAGCCCCCACCCTAACCCCCAAAAGTCCATGTGACGTTTCTCGTGGAAAAAATCGACATGTGAGGCTTCCCTGGGTATAAAACAAGCGTGTATGTCGCGTGGGGTTTGCGGGAGCTGAAAAATAGCTAAGGTTTTCGGTTAGCTATTAACCAGTGGCGAAGCTAGTCATTAGCAACAGTCAAGCTATGCAAATCTTTAATGATTTGTATTATTCCAAAATTTAGAAACGCACCGCCTTTAACCTTTTTAAATTGGCTCATTAGCATAGCATGACCAGTTGCAATGGTTAAGTCAACCTCGTTCCCAGGCTCTTTGCTCTTGGGAAGCAAAGACCCTGGTCGGGGCTGGTCACGTGACCCCGCAGATTCTGCGTGGTAAATTGAATTGATCTCAGGGAGGGGTGGTAGAGGAGTCTGTTTGTTGCGTTTGGAAAATTGCAATTTTATGTGTTATAGTTTCGGGTGATAAAAATGTAATTTGCAACAAGATATCGTGAAAGGAATAGTTTTAAATTCGTATTCATCATGACACAACTTCCTGCTATACTGAATGTCATCAATTATAAGTGTTGCGGTACATTTCAAGCAAGAAGCTGGATCATATTTCACTTCCAAGGACTCCACACGCGCCTGGCTTGCGAAGTTGAGCACGCATCGCCGTAGAAACATATATGTCTTCCCAATTCTATACCGACTGATCGATCAAACGATACTAAATGAACGATATGGTTGTTTATGGTTGAAGTGTATCCTGTCCGATATTCAACAAAGCCAAAGGATTTATTTTATAATGGAAGATTTCCCAAACATCGCTAACTGTGTGTAAACAATAGTGCTATCTTGACTGTGAAAGCACAGGATTAAAACCCGTTATGGACGGTAAAATTCCTTACGTACCAGAGCCAGAAACGTACGCGTGAAATGAAACTGCGCCCGAACCCCGAGACAATAAAAGGGCAAATATTTCCAAGCATATACGATCATACGCTTTCGTTGCTTGATTTTCTGACTTGTTTGTTGCTATAAGAATCTACAGTTTAGCATGTTTGTATAATTTAAAAGCAAACAGAAACCAATTTAGCAAGTATTTTGAAGTATATATGATTCTCAAAGATGATTGTATAGCACGGTCACTCCTTGCAATCGAAGTGTGAGGTGCGGAAGTGGAAACATGTAATTTGATACTTTTCCATCCCCCTCTTAGGTTATCAATTTTCTATGGGTCACGTGACCAGCCCCGACCAGGGTCTTTGCTTCCCAAGAGCAAAGAGCCTGGGAACGAGGTTGTGGTTAGGTTGGCCACTCGCTATCAGTATACTCACTTCTTTTTCTTGAGCAACAACATCGACTTAAAAACGCCATCGATATCAATCTCGAGAAGCTTGTACAACTTATTCACTTCATTTTTTACCTATGGGAAGAAAACGGAATACACATCAATTGGAGATGTTTATAATGTTTGTATACGCTCCTGCACTGCCAACTGAATGTAGGATAATTTTTCAAAACTTATTTATTTATTTTTCCCTTTGTAAAATATTACATAACCAAACAAACAAGATAATATTTACAAGTGATAGGGCTAGAGACCAACTAGAAATCTTGATAGGCTTTTGATTATATGCTCAGTTGATTTAGTTGTTCAGTTTTGCTTTAGTAATGCTAATTATTAGATATATTGAAATTACTTCTTAGCACAGTCAAATGAAATAAAGGAAAGAAATGGTTTCTCGTGTTATCATGGTGTAGTACTTCGTTGTAAAATTTTTAAACAAAATTTTTAAGATGATGATAACGAGACATAAATAATGCGGTTAAATATAGTCATTGATTTTAAAAATGTCTAGGATATTTACTTCTTTAAAAGTAGGCTCCGTGTGTTCTAAATTACAATTATAGATGAGATCATGATGCTACGCATCTCCCCGTGACCGGAAGGAAAGGGAATCTCACGACACTGTTCCAGTGAGCTCCATATCTGGAGTAGGAACTGGGTTGTTCAAAGTGAAGCCAGTTTCGTGTTAACCGCGCATACAACAACAATAGAAAGGGACTGGAACTGACGTCCAAGAGCTCCTTCAATTTCCGCCATCTTGGCAAGGAGTGTGTTGAAATTTCGTATTTTGACTTCGATTTAAAGAATAATATTGTGATTTTATGAACTGAAAACTTGATTAGTGAGACGGTCCATTAGAAAAAACTGGAATTAGCTGGGGGGAAATGGTATAAAAACTGTTTACGACCTTCATAGATATTGGACGTCAATGGCCGCCATCTTGGCTTCACTTTTCTCATTGACCGAATGACTTAAGTTCTTACTCCAAATATATATAGAGCTCAATGCACTGTTCAGTCTTCGTAACCTGCCAGCCAGGCCTCGAATTTCCCTGAAATCAATCGACGGCAACGGCGTTAAAATTTGCCGTATAGAACGTAACAGCTGTCTACGGCAATTTTGACAGTTTCCACGGCATTTTTTCAAATTACTGTAATAAAACTTTAATTTTATTGTTACTTTGGATTTTTGACAAGCTTGAAACATGTCTACGTATTTCTTTAGTGTTTTTTTCCCGAAGAAAACTGAGACTAAAATAGTGATTTACGCATGATTTGATCAACATCTGAATTCAAGTATCAAAATAGTAATGCACAGTGAAAAGTATAAAAATTACACTATACGGCAAAAAATTGCCGTCGTTGCCGCAATGATCCACGGCATTTTGTTCTCCCTCTACGGCAATTGCCGCGATAAAATTCGAGCCCTGCTGCCAGCCATTTCATGACGCCCAAACTGTGCAGTTCTCTCCAATGAAATACAAACCTTGTTTCCCAATTTCAACACTTCCTTGAAATCTGTTGTATTTGTGTTGATCATGATGGAGTCAGTATCGCCATATATCACATCCAGATTCATTCCTTGAACAAGATCTTTGGTTTTTAATAAAATCTACAAAACGACAGAAAGCAGTAAAAACACTGGTTATTGTGTGTTTCCTTGTTATCACATCATAATATACATACATATTACATGCGCAAAGTCGAACTACAGTAAAATGCAATGAAATTCGGGGCGGTCGTGCGGTCGGGGCAACGGGGCTTCGGTGGCGTAGTCATCAGAGCTAGCGCCTTTCACCTCCGAGTACGTGGGTTAGAATTTGCAGCATTACTGGAGCGCACCAGTAGAGAAGCACGCCCAGGGGCGTGGCGACTGGGGGGTCTTGGGGGGGTGGGTGGGTGCGACGCCCCCCCCCCCCAATAATTCTGAACTTTGAAAAGTTGGTCAAAATTTTTGAAAAGTTGGTCAAAGGAATTATTTAAATATGAAACGAAATCTTATATTATTTACAAAAATTTTAGAAAATCCAAAAAATGTTCAGAATTTTAGAAAAAGTTCTTTGATAAACGGAGAAAATTTGTGATATCCGAAAAAATTTTAATGTCGCGAAAAATGCGATAGGTCCGCGGGGGGGGGGAGGTCGCCAAAAAACATTTCGAGAAAAATTTTTTTAAACACGAAAACGTTGGTCATTTTCATTGAAAAAGTTGGTCATTATGGTATGACGCCCCCCCCCCCCCA